TGAAAATTTTTTTAATTAATAAAAAATTTGATGAAAATATTTGGTTTTATAATGATCCAAGAATGTTTATTTGGGATTTAGAAAATTTAAAAATTGAAAATACAAAAATAATGGTTAATAAAAATATTTTCAATTAATTTTTCACATATTACCATTTCCCTTCATTTTATTTTTGATGTTTTTATAATAATCAAAATGGCTCCTCAATCCTCAATTTCAACCTATCCAATACTACCAACATCTAGTTTCTGGCAAGCTAATCATCATTTATATTCCATTATAATAATATTAAATCAATCAATACAATCAAATGACAATAATGAAACACAAAAACACTATTTTTGCTTCATATTTAATGCTCTTAATGACAATTTTTACAGCTTCTTGCATGATCTTAAGTTTATTTGCCGGTAAAATAATCTGTTTGATCATTTAATTCATGTGATTTATATTCAAATTCATATTCATATTCATATTCATACCCATTATTCATATTTATTTTCTTGCTAATTATAGATTATAAACGATTTTGCATCATCATTATATGGATTGAATTGAATCATTGTAGTTATTTTATTACTTCAATAATCAACTTCTTTTGCTTTTGGTTTCTTATCTTCTTTTTCTCTTATACTTCTTGATTTATAACCTTTCTTAACATTAATTTCTTTAATTAATTTATCTTTAAATTCTTTACATTTTATATCAATTTCATCATCATTTAAATCCAATTCTTCATCATCTTCTAATTTATCTCTATATTCACTAACTTTTAAATCAATCTCTTTTCTTTTCTGTTCATGATTTACAATCTCTTTATCTTTAATATTTATAAATTGATCTCTTTTTAAATTATCTTGTTTATTTTTTTGTCTTTTAGCATAACTACTTAATTCATTATGATTTTTACCAACAGCAAATGAATTATTTTTTTGAATAAAACCATTTGTACCTGATCCTCTAGCAGTTGATAATCCAATACCGTTATATGACATGATTAACTAAGATTAAATTAAAAAAAACTTTTTAAATAAGATACAAATCCGTTTATACATAATCATCAGTATTTAATTTTTGTTTTCTCAAATTCCGGTAATTCAAGCCAATTTTCACGCGAAATTCGTCAACTCGGTCGGATTTCTCAAAAAGGATATCAAAATTTCATTACTTACGCATTTCAATTTTCCGATGATTGAAGCATCACAAAAGATCTTACATATGTACATTTTTTACGTATCTAACGTATGCTCCAAAATTTGGTTGAAAGTTAGCGATGATTCTTGATGATTCATGGGTTTGATGTTTGATGTTTGATATAAATTTGATGGCCTGGTATGTTGTTGTTGTACTATCTTCATATAAGAGTAGTATTAGATTCTTTTTGATCAAATTGAAGTTGGAACAGCTACAAATTTTAAGTATGAACTTTGGGTTCTGGAGCATGTAGTATAGTACTTGAAATCTGGAGTAGTTGGACATTTTTTGACCAGTATTGAACCATGGTCCGTTATCCATTATATATAGTAGACCAAAAGCTGCCTAAAGGCTTAAAGTATATCGTGTTAAATTTTAACCATAATTACGGACCATCAAGTAAAAAGTTTATCGTCTTTCATGAAAAGCACATCTGATGATTTTAGATGCTGTTTTAACCTCAATGCATTCGTAAAATAGAGTCTAATATAGTTGGTGATGTAGCGCTATAATTGATTACTGGTCTATTGGTGTTCCTTGTATCGATTCCACAATATCAATTAAAGATCATGATCAGTAAATTTGAAGCTTATATATCATTGAACCAATTTAAAAAAAGTCTGGACTCTGAACTGAATTTCCCAAGCTCCTTCTCGGTATGGATTTAAATTAATCAACCTGTTCTTGTTTTATTTTGTATAAGTATTATAATTCATGTACCTCGATGAGTTGAGGGTTGAGGGCTTTGATATGCATACGTATTGATTATTACTAGGATAATCTTCATCGTCTAAAACGTAGCGTTAGGTTCCTAAACAGCTAAAGTCGGCCGTCTCTACATAAGTTATAACTTGAGCTAGAATAGATCAAGGAAATCAAATAAGCAGGTTTATTTGAGTTGAACAAATAGTACTGTTAATTATATGAAATTTGAGTCTGGGCTCTGTATTAAGTGAACTTTCGAGCTGTTAAATTCACTTGTATCTTGCATTATAGATGATATAAACGTAATAGTATTAGCATGAAAAATTTCCCTTTAGAATGATGATCCATGGACCATGACACTTCAACAGTTGTCTGGATGTCGCTGTGTCAAGTATGGAGTCTAGAGTCTGGACCAGCTAGCGTGGCTAGCTTGGTGATATTTATCGTATCATAATTGTGTATCAAATGGTATAGTGATTTGACCGATTACGTGACGTTAGCCTTAATCAACATTAATTGACATTTCTTTTAAGATTTTAGTGTGAATTGAATATGATGAATCTAGCGTAAGGTACCATACCTGAAACTATAATTTTAGCTTGTTGATATCATCATTGAAGCATTACAATTATAACACAATTAACATACTAAAAACCGGTCATATTGTAGTTTCTTTTCTTGTTATATAATTAAATTAATAAATCAATATTAGTTAAGTTCTTTATAATCAACATATTCAACATATTCATAGATATATAGTACTATCTTATTAGCAATATAGCAACCATATTATAGAGTAAAGATAAGATGTTACTTCCATATCTATATGAATTATTGGTTCAATTTCATGAGTAATGATGCTTTTCAAATCTTTAAATTCCAAAATTTAACCTTGGTTTCAATTGAGATCTCAGTACTGTTCAATTCAAACCTTGTCTATCAAAATTTTTTCCAGCTTAATTTGTACTGTGCGTATTTCAGAAAATCTCACCAAATTTTGGGGAGTCCTCCCTAACTCTAGGCTCAAATTAGTGGGTTAAAATTTAAAAGAACGCAGCTGGAAAGAAGCAGCTGAAGAACTTTCCCCCTTTAATCAGAAAGCCTTACCTACTATACACTACCTATTTATCTCACCCACTCTAGTATTTGTATATCTTTAGTACACAATGCTCAATAGGTAAATCACTACAGTATGTCTATTTTATCGCTTGGGAAGGATTAGGATTTGAAACTATCCGCTCACCTTCTATATAAACACTCAAGTATCGTGGTATCGTGGTATCGTAATCGGCTCGATGACTTCGAAACTATGATAGTCAGGACTCAGCGTATATTATATGTACATAAAAACGTTTTAATGATCAATTAACTTTTTGTAATGATCGGGATTCCTGATCTAAAGGCGATGATGATATTTAAATTATTGTTGATCATCCTTTTTTCAATAATCTTAAAGCATAAATATATGATACCTCAAGAGGATGATTTTTGAGATAACTCCCGGCATAAGTAATAGTGAGGTCACCTAATGAGCCTGAGACCCTCATCAATGTTTATGCCATATCTCATTGTCTATAAGATGACCTACCCTTATAACTTCTTGTGGTATACTTTAGATCAGTTTTCATGATTTTTAAAACCATGAATCATGATCCATATATATCAGATCAAGTTGTTTATACTTTATTTATCTTTCCTCGTATTGTAATGTACAACATGTATAACGTACTGTTCGAAAATTAACTTTCAACTTTCAAGTCAAATGCGAAATTTAAAATTTTCGACTACTTTTGAGTTCTTGACACATAATTTTGGACCAGTATAAACACCGAGTGATGGAGGCCATAACTAAATCGTGCATATAGCAAGCTACCACTATGACCATTGCTGATTTAGCAAATCTGATTTCACCATTCAATTTGTAGAGTTCATCTTCACATATAATGAGGTACCTATGATTGATTTAAAGCTTCCTTAAACTTATTAAAAATTCACATTTTACTCTTCATATCTGGTTAAAGTCGCTTTCTTCATGTTGTCTTTAACCGATTCCGAGTGTCCCTTACCGCATTGGGGGGATGATTTTTTCTTCACGTACATATTGAAATTCCCAACCTGCTTAAAACAACTTCAAACAGCTTGTCACAATTTAAAAAATATTTATTTTTCATTGTATTTTGTATCAATTAATGCTATGAACAGCTAGTTCTTAGCGATTTCTGAGTGTTTATAATCATCAATTATGATGCGTTTTACAAGGGAATTTCGGCATTGAATCAGAATTGCTAGTGTATTTTACCCTCATACATTTTTTGTCCCAGCTTTACGACCCTTGTGAGAGCCAATATAAAATATTAAGTGCGTGTATTGTTTGACCCACTTTGAGATTCCTGAATTCTGATCCCTCGCAGGTAATTTGTGATGGTCTGCAAGGACACAAAATGGGCACAGTGTACATTGTAAATTGTACATACACACATAAGTGTAAAAATTTAATTGTGTGGTGCACGTATAGGCCATCTAGTATAAATAAATGGAGCGATTCCGATTTTGACTCTCTATCACACATTTTATTACTGAAGAACTATTTGGATCTTTAAAGAACTTATCTACACAGCATACAATTGCCTGGTCATATTGTATCTATAATGTACAATCAACTCTGTACAACTTCACTGTGAATTAGATATTTAATCAATTGGTTTCCCAGTGCTGAAGTTTACAAATTATTATATTTTCAAAGAGGTTTAAGTGTGAGATTAGCTTAACCGCCATCAAAAACACTTAGATATATCAACAAAAACAATTGAATATTACCAATTACAACTTAGAAAAGGTTTTATTTCAACTCTATTATCCATACAACACATTCCATTTATTATATTTATTCATTCAAAAGGTTCAAAAAGACAAAAAGTTCCATCTGATCAGCTAACTTTCCACTTCAATTTGGCTGCCAAGCTGTGCTATATTATCTGAATTTATATTACAATACAAAAGTTATAGGAACAAATACAAGAGGTTTAAAGTTATTTCATCTTATAGGTGTGCTCAATTTCTCCTAATTTGTTCATAAGTATTAGTTTGCCACCCATCAATTTTCAAGTTTTTCAAGTTATACAAAAAAGTAAACTCGATAGACTAATATTTCCAATTGCCATTTGGCTTTATTATTAAGCCTTTATAGTTGTTGTGCTGTTTTTTTTTTTTATTTGAAATAAGATTATGGTCACATCCAAACCAGGAATCAAGTTAAGATCAAGAAATGGTTGTTTAACATGTCGTGATCGTCACATCAAATGTGATGAAAATTTACCAGTTTGTAACAATTGTAAAAAATCAAACAAAACATGTAAAAGAGGTTCAAGATTGAATTTTTTGAAGAGTACAGTTTATGATCCAAAAATTCCAACTAATTATGAAACTTTTAAGATTGTTGATCAATCATTTACAATACATAAATTTTATAAATTCAACAAATTTCATAATTTTACAAACTGGTTCAAATATCATTCACTTGAAGAATTATTTGAAAGTGATGAAGAATTTGAAAGAAGTTTAGATTTTATAAATGATCAATTGAACAAGAATCAATTAAGATTGGTTTCCATAGTGGAATTAATAAATGAAAGTTTCAATATTAAAAAATTCTTAAACAAGTTGTTGGTGATTCAATTACCATCAATTGATCATTCATTATTCACATTTGTTTCATTACAGAGGACATTATTATTACAATCTTTCAATATGGAATTAGAATTCAGTGAACCAAAATCAATTGAAAAATTAACTGTTAAGGATTTCCAAAAATATTGTAATTTTTTGGATACTCTGGAGTTAAAGTCTGAAAGATTTGAAACACATTATAATATATTATTAAATTCATTAAATTTAGCTATGAAATTGAAAAAAATTAATGTTTTCGAAGGTGATTCACAAAATGATGTTTTTTTGAATAAACTTAATATGATTACAACAAATGAACATCTACAAAATTTTGATAATTTGATGTATTGTTTTGAAATTTGGTTATTAGATTTAAACAATTCAATTTATACCAATACTGCACCATATTTCAGTGTTATTTATGATGATCGTGTTGAGTTTTTATTAAGCAAGATTTTACATTTGAATTTGTTTAATGATTTGAATTATTTCTTGATTAAAGTTTTAACAACAATATTAAAGTTGAATAATGTTTATAATGAATCATCAACTCATCTTTCTCAAAATTATGAATTATTTTTATTAATAAAAGATTTGAAAAATTTTGAAAATAATCATTTCTTATCAATGTGTTTCCCAAAGATTCAAGATAACCAATTAAAATTTGCAAATTTGAAAACAAGAAAATTCCATATTTGGTATAATTTTACAATTGTTTACATTTTAACCAAATTTCACGTTTCTTCAGAAATGAGGAAAATGTTATTTACAGATACAGTACTATTTACATTTTGGGATTCATTTGAAGCAAATCCATTCAAAAGATTATCATTTTTAATAACCAATTATGATTATGATAATGATCCATTTATGAAATTTTTGAAGAATTATCAAATCTTTGATAGTGATGAACTATTAATTGATGTTTAATCTTGACACTTTATAATTTATTCAAAAGATCAAATTTCCATATCAGACAATTCAAACAACAATTTTTATATGATCAGAAAGTCTTCACATGGTTGTTATTATTACACATATATCACATAACTAAGGTTTCAAGTTAGGGTTAACTTGTATTTTTTTCAGACTACAATTTATTTTTTATTTTTTTGATTGTTATTACTATTATTATTATTTGAGGGCAGGGAAAGTTGTAATATCGTTTTAATGAAAAATATTTGATTTACCAATTATTTTTGTTTTGTTTGTTTTATTTCTTGATTTTAAAAAAGAATTCATAATGTTTGATTTAAAATGAACGGTCAGAGCTAATAAATGTTTTTTTTCTTTCATGTGTTTGTTTTTCAGTGGGTAAAGTTAGTTGTATGTTGATATATAAATTATAATGAATTATTGCAAATTGTTTTATTTCACGAATATATAAGTTTTATGGTGTGTACATAGATTCCAAATATTATGAATGTTTATTTAAATTGAAGTTGGCTTTGTAAGAGGTCTTCGATTGTCTTCGATGTGCTTTGGGTACCATATAGTAAAGATCTGATCAAAATATAACTCAATCACAATATCACAATATCACAACTTATTTAACAAGTTGATTTGGGTTGAATTGGTAATTTGTGCACTAACCGAGTGGCTTTGTGATATTTTTCTTCTGGTGCAGAGTTACGTTATCATCATGATCATGAAAAATTAAAAAATTATCAAACTCTTAACTGTTTGATTCGCTATAAATATGTGGAAAGTTTAAAGTTAAATCATTAAGTCTAAGATATCTAAATCTATCGACTAACACTACCTATGTTCACATGAGTTATGTTGAATTTTAGCTCAAATTGGCCTAATTACGTAGTCATACATTAATTTCAGCTTGTGAGGTACACCAAAGTTAAAACCGGCAAAATATAAGCAATCATGAAGTCAAAACAATGCATTTAATGGATCGATTTAGCGCTATTGTTTCTGAATACTGAAATGTTCATTTGCATTAGATTAATAACTTGTAAGGATGTATAGAAATCAAAGAATATACTAGAATTCACATTGTAACGTTGCTTTTTAAATTAATTTCGTTATATCAGATTTATGATAACTTTTAATATACAGCCCTTTTCGAATCCCATTTACACATACAATATGCACAATAAAGAGCTATGCCACCTATTATACGTTGGTCACTTTATGTCTTGTAATTAGTTGTAATATATGCTGTTCAATTATTAGCTTGTTAAAATGACGTTGTCGAACTTGAAAAAATCTCAGGGGTATCAACCTGTACTTCATAAAACATATGTCAATTTCATTCTATTGTTGAGTGAAAACTGTATACATTATGCAGCTTGCTCCTTTTATTCCCGATTAATATGTTCAAATCTAGGAAAAAACATTTTGGGTGATGATACTTTTAACCATTAATTATAGATCAACATGTTTATAAGATTAATTAATTAATACTATATTTATGATCCATAAAAGATAAAACGAACTATCGAATAACTAGCGCTATATTGGACAAATTTTGTCTTTTACAGTTCAAGATTTTTAGCTTACATAATCTAGGTGCTCATATTTAATTAACGTTAAAGTATTAGCTTAAAGGCTCAAATCTTCTCATAATTGAAGTACAAAACCTGATTTAAAGACCTAAAATCCTGTAGAATATATAAATCATCAAAAAAAAGCTTTTTTCTATGTTTTGAATTTTTAAGAATTTTAAAACTTGTAATTTCAAATCAAAAATAAAATTATTATGATCGATAAAAATTCTGAATTTTATAAATTAATATTAAAAAAATTTTTTTTTTGTACAAGCGCTATATCGACAAACAATTTGACATACAGTTTATTTAATGCAAATTAACTATGATATAGCCAATAATTATTAGTTTTTACAAGTGAATCATATAATTAAAGAGATTTTAAGATTTAAGTGGCCCAACCAGAGTGAGAAAGCGAGGAAATGGGCAAAATTTACATAATATATAAAATGGTTTCGTGGTCTAGTAGGTTATGGCATCTGCTTAACACGCAGAACGTCCCCAGTTCGATCCTGGGCGAAATCATATTTTTGCCAATTCAGCACAAAACTCGCTTTTTTTTTGAAATATTTAGCTTAATATTAGAAAAATTTTATTTGATAGTATTAGTTTTACAATAAGTGGTAATTTCCTTTTTTGAAGTCTCTTAAGCTATACTAAAACCTTGCTTTTAATGCTTCACTGAGGCTCTAATATGAAGTATTGATGCAAAAACCATAATAAAGTATTAGCTCCGAATCTGTATATGGCCTTTGAAAGATCAAACTTATAAGTTATAACCCAGCTAGAAATTTCAAAGCTACAATACAGATTTACCGTGATAGGAATAGCTAAATATTATATGTCATTTGCGTGTATTAATATTATTAGTTATTCATTATTCGTTATATGCTCATTTCAGCATTTCTATAATCTATATTCTATTATTTTATGATGTATATGGTGTATTGCATTTTTTTTCTGGTACTCTTTATTGATTTCATAAATTCAATATAGTAAGAATCAAATAGTAGATTCTTCAATTGTTGTTAGCATAATGTAACATGCATGATTTTGAATAAACGATTTGAATTCACTTTGAGCTATAAGAAATGGATCTCAGTATGGGAAAGTGATCAGATCTTTAATGTCTTTGAATGATGATATGATGACAAAGATGGTCTTCTTCCTTGATGTGTTGGTGTTGTTCTTATGGTGGATGATATGAGTCTAGGGAAATGTAATTCTGATATATGAATATCTAATCTTGGGTTTGTGTATGTATTGAGTTCAAAAGTTAACAATTGAGGCGATAAAACATTCTGTAAAATGAACTTATTTTCACAAAATGATTCAGGATTATTTAACGTAATATTCAAGCTTTTGAGTGAATCAGCCTTCATGTTTGAAATAGTTCCTATTTTGCAACGTGAGATCTCCAAGCTTTCACAAAACGGTATGATCAAAGAATCAATTGTGGAAATTTTAGAGTCTGCAAGTTTGACATTTTTGGAATTGAAAGACAATGACTTAATTTTAATATTTGAACAATGATTTATTTCAAAATTTTCAAGTGTTGATGTGAAAGGAAAGTTTTGAATCAGAGATTCTCCAACCAAACCATGAAAGTTGGAAATAATAATTTCATTTGGTAAGTTTCCCACAGATTTTATCATATTTGCTATTTTAGAAGCAAATTCAGTATTGTTGAAGTCGTAAGCACCTGATGGACCACCAGAAAATTTCAAAGTCTTTAAGTTTGGACACATCTTGATAATATCACTTAAATTTTTGGTATAGTTCATGGACCATTCAAGTTCAGTAACATTTGGAAATTGAAAAATAGCTGGATCAATATCAAAGCACGGGAGTCTTGTAATAGCTTTTAAACAGGGTACATTGATTGATTTTATATGATTTATTGGTACCTCTGTTGACACAAACGAGTTAACTAAGTTGTACCATTCAATGAGATCTTCAATAATCAAATATGTAGATTCATGTTCCAGTTTTATTAAGTCAATAATATGGCGGTTAACCTCATTATAATTTAAATCAAAACATTCTTGATGATCATTTGGCGTGTTTTCAACAAGCAATGTTCCTCTGAAAGATTTAATTTTTTCACTAACACCAACTTTTGAACCTTCTTTAAATGGAAGTGCCTCACCTAATGACAAGAAAAAGCGATCAGGTAGCTCATATTTGTGACGATTGTTAGGGTGTGTAATGATAAGCAACTCTTTTTCAGTTATGAAGTATCTAAAGCCTTCTATTTGCCAAAGCCTGATCAAATCTAATGGATGACATTCTTTCAAGATCTTCTCAATAACGAGATCTGGGAGATCAAGCAAGCTTGTAGATATCAAAGCACCAGCTGTTACCATTTTGTTTTGGTGATGATGTGAACGATAAGGATGTTCCTGAATTAAAAAAAGAATCAGATGTTTATATAATAAATATACTTATCTTTAAAAATTTCTTTGTTGGACGGATAAACTATTTCTTTTTCTTTCTGTGTCCGAACAAAGCACCCTGATTGTTAGGCAAGTTTTTCCGTTTTGGAAATCTATATGAATTCAATAGACAGCGTACCAAGTTCCAAGTTTCAACTAACTCGTGGTGTAATGAAGGAAACTGATTACTACACAATTAGGTCTACGGCGAGGTATATTGTGATACTATAGTACAAGCAACAGATTTCAATATTCAAGAATTGTAATTTAAAAAGGATTGTTGTACAATGTATAGTATTGTTCCTTTAAAATCCGAATTAGTATCAATTCGAATCTTCAAAGTAACGTTTCAAAAGGCGGAATGTCTTCATAATATTGTCCAAAGTCAGGAAGGTAGTGAACTGGATCAAAGCCGGAATCTGGCGTGGGTTCATTATACCTGGTGAAATCTTTGAAAACCTTCAGATTTGGAAGCTGGTTCTGATCCATAACAAGTTCTTTTATGAAATTATTTGCAGATAGATCTATTTCTGTAATCAAGTCACTCGGTTCAATATGAAGATCATTTAATTTTCCAATAGTGAGCTTTCTCAGCTGGGGATAATCTTTAGTACTAAAAGAGTTCACAATATAACTACTCAAAATCTCCAGCTCTACCAAGCTAGGCGCCTTCACTTCCACAAATCTGACTTCACCCTCACTTTCTATAGATAACGATTCAAGACTCTCAAAGTTACATTTTGATACATCAAAAGGAGTATTTGAGTTTGAAAGTGTTTTTATATCTAGCTTTTTTAAAAATCTATAACGGATTCCTTGGATTGAAGATAAAGCAGCGTTATTAATAAGTGATAAGTTCAATATACTAATGAAATCAATTGGCAATATGGAGATGTCACTGAAATTGGGTATATTTTCAAGTACAAGCGTCTGAAGGCGAGATGAATTTAGTAAAAGAACCTCGTTTTTTTGCTTTAGTTCCTGTCCATAAATGATCAGTTCATTCAATCTAGGAAATTGAGTTAATCTTGAAATTTTGTGAGGTCCGTTGGATTTTTCGTTTTGTATAACTAGCGTGGTGAGGCTCTGAAAAGATAGACCATCAATCAAGTGCAAACAGTTTCCAAGCGTTAAAGCATTCAAATTGTTTAAAAAATTGAATGTTTTGATGAGTGCATTGTTGTGGTGTCCTTCATATTCATCAGAGAAACCAATTGTAGCGGCTTGTAATAAAGGGAAATGAAATTTGGATATTCTGAGGTCCATTTTGGAGTTTAGCATATCGAAATCGAACTCCCTAAGTCTTGGTGCGATTATATCCATGAATATAAATTTATTCCAATTGTCTATTCTTAAACTCAAGCTTTGAAGTAAAGGAACTCTTAAATGTGATATTTCATTTATAATAGAACGTTCGACTAATAATGTTTTGAGCTTAGGCATGGATAAGCGTTTCATGGAAGACAAAACTGAGTCCAAAATATGAATTCTTTTAATATTTGGCAATGACAAATCTAAAATTGAAAAACTGCGAGTTCTTGCGGTTTCAAAGCATCCATTGATTTCTAGATATTCCAGTTTACTTGAATATGGTAGGTGATACTCCAATGTATGACCAACAGTCGAGGGCATAATGTGAGACATTGTGAAGTTTCTCGGTAACTCAATATCAACAAAAAAATCCATAAGTTCAATCTTTCCTGAAAATTCCAGTGACTCCACTCTAGGAAACATACTTCTTGTAGCTTCAATATTCAAATCATTTGAGTTTGTGCCATTTACTTTAACTTTTTTCACATTAGGGAATTGAAAAACATCTTTATTCATTTTAAAAGTAGGTAGTCTAAAATTTTCAATACAAGGAACAGATATGGATCTAATATGATGGTTATTGTAGTTGTGATCTTCTAGAAAACTAGCAGTCTCATGCCATCTATCGAATCGATTAAGGATTAGATGAGTTGGATAATGTCCCTTAGCAAGTATTCCAAAATCGACTTGAGCCAATGTGCTTTCTCCAGCACCCAATTCGAGCAGCAAAACACCATTGAAACCATGAAGTATATTATCCTTATTGACAGCTTTCTCAGTACAGAAAAATCTCTTCGGTAAATTGTATTTTGATTGAGGTAAACTATTATTTGTAACTATAAGCAATATGTCACTGGTAATTAAATATCTCAATTCAGGAATAGAATGCCAAATTTGAACTATTTCTAATGGATGTGTATGCAGCAAAATATGATGAACAACCTCAACGGGCAATTGAAAGATATTTATTGGCATATTGAATCTACTGACAGGAAAATACATGCGACCTTCACTCTTCACTAGATGTTTCACTTTCAATGCAGGTGGGAGTTGACACAATTATTTTCTCAAAATTGTACCCACGAACATGAAAATCACGTACGTATGTAGAAAACGTGAAAACTAAATACCTCAGCGTGCTATGTAGTAGGCTGATAAAAGAATTTTATAGTTAAGAAATTTAGTAAACTACTTTGAAATACATAGAAACAATTGATATACATTAACTAATTAAACTGCTAAGAAACCATTTTCATCATAACCTGCGTAAATTTTGGCATCTTCTGTTAATTTACCACAATGTAGGATAACATCATCAACCAATAAGTTCAAGTTTTGAGCAATCAGCTGAACTGGAACACCTTCAGGCATTGATGGTGTATTCTCACTAATATATTCATGGATTCTATCAGCAGTTGATAATCCACCAGTTTCTGAAGCTGATGGTCCACTAACAAACAATCCATTTGTAGATCCTTGGGCACCTGAATCTGACTTGATAGTACCTTGTGCTTTCAAATGTGAATCAATTGCACTTAAATGGTGATATAAAACCTCATTATAATCTGTTATTTCACGGAATGTTGTATGCTGTATATTCTTCTTACCACCAAATTCTTTAACGGATCCTGTAACGTAAACATATTTACCGTCTCTTATGAATGTATTAGCATCTTCTTGTGCATTATCATCAACCCATTTACGTAGTTCGATTGAACCTGTACCATCTTCAATTTGTACTTGTAAGTTTGATGTATTATCTGTAACTTTACGAATAACACCAACGAATGATACCAGATTTAGTTCTAGATTATGGACAACAAATTCACCATCTTGTATAATTGGTTTACTATCGTTAATTTGCTTGATTGTAACAGGTGTAAGACTGTTTTTGGTTTGAGTTCTAGTACCTTGAGATCCACCACCGGTTGAATCAAATCCTCCAGATGTATTATAATCACCTCCGTTGTAGTCACCTCCGTATGGTTGATAAGCTTATATAGAGTTAGTAGTTGTTTCAAAGAGACAAGATAGAATATATCACATACTAGCCATTTTATTACTAGTAGTTTATCCTTAGTAGATAGTTTATATAGACGTTGAAATAGTGGCAAGTTTATTAAAAAAACACATCAAAAAAGCGTGTTTGAGTTTCGCGTCGCACGGTTTGTACACTCCATCAATACAATTCTCGCGCCGGCCATTTTAATTTTAGTTATTTAACAATAACCATGCATTGAATTTGAGGGAGTATGGACTACTAATGGTGCTATCACAGTGAGTTATACTGCTAGTATCCTGGTTTTTGAAATATACGTTATTTTGGATGTGTTTAAAACGCAAATATAGTGGGGGAAATGAACATGATCAACTTTTGTTATGCATTAGAATATGAAAATTTATACTGTTTCGAAGATTTTGAATTTTTGGGCCATACAGCTTTGAGTATAAATAATCTGTTGTTCTATTTCAACCTATATACAAGTATGTTATCTCATTTTGAGTGTAGGGATGTAATTATATCTCAAGGTACACAATTTTGCAACATTTTTCTAAGCATCTACATCATTTTTATTCAACTTTTTTTTGTCACCAGGAAGATAATGTGGTTCATCACTAGATGGGTTCTCTTCTTTCGCAGGAGCATCTTTTGCATGGTGTCCTATGAGACCTTTGAGTTTTTCTGGTATTTCATCGAAAACTAAATCATTTGTACTTGAAGAAACAGATTCACCTTTAGCTTTCAAAATATCCTCTATTGTGATGTTGTTATCTGAGAAGATCTAGTATTTACTTGTTAGTAATGTACTTCAATGGACAAACACTATTTGAAAAATATACATACTTTTAGATGATCAGCAATTAAATGTCTATTTTGACAACCTGGACAAGTTATTAAAACGGTACCCGATGTATAAGCTTGTTTTGAAATAGCATGACTTGATCTTGTGTTACATTTTTTACAAGTCATAGCAAGCATTAGTTGAGGTTGGTCAACTTTTAATTGTGCAGAATTTCCATGATTGTGATTGTGATTGCAATTATCAGAATGATATCTGACACTAGATCTTGTGGTTTGGTTTATCAAAGAAGGCGAAATTCTTGTGCGGGACAATGACAAAACAGCTGGTCTTCTTAAAGCAGATAGTGATTGTGTTAATGATCTTCTGAACATGTTGATATATGTATGGTTACCAAGCTTTCCAAAGTTACAAAAGATAGAAGTTAAAATTATTGATGGCGATATGAATTTTTTTTTCGGATTTGAGTTGTAGTAGTGTCCATAAAGAAGCTTTCGGACTTTTAAAGAACAACTGTTTTCAAGCAGACATATGTGAATTCAGGTGAACCTTGAAACCTGAAAAAAACGTTTCCCAGCAAGATCTATTCCGCTGGTTTAAAATGAGCTAAATAATTTTTCAATATATTTGATCGTTAAGCTTATACAGTCAAAAAAAAAAGCAAATTTTGAGCTAAATTGGCAAAAATATGATTTCGCCCAGGATCGAACTGGGGACGTTCTGCGTGTTAAGCAGATGCCATAACCTACTAGACCACGAAACCATTTTATG